ATGAATAGACTCTGGCCCAATATATAGAGTGGCACTCCTGTCATCAGCCACTTAATTGCCTCCCTGTCCACACTCCTCTCTCTAACCGTCAATTTTCTACGAATGAGACCTCAACAGCAACAACTATGTGATTTGCAGGTTGTCGTGGTTCTTTTGCTGACTTGGCTGGTTGCCTGGTTGATCACATTGCTGGCACGACGGTGGTGGTGGAGGTGGTGCCGCCTTGGTTTCACCGCCACCGTCATGCCAGGCAATGGACCGGACGATTGCTGAGCGGTTATCACTTCTCTCTTCACCATAACAAAGCCTCCCTAATGTCACCCTCTCAATCCGTTAATCGCCTCCCCCACCTCCCTCCTTCCCTCACAGCCCAATGGTCTGCTCTATAATTCTTGCTTCTTCTTTTGTCTTCCTCCTTTTGCCTTTTCGCACAATTCCACATCAATATGCCCTCACACTTACGTGCAACGTGGCGTGCACGCACTGATCAAGGTATTTTCACACGCACACACACAGACATACGAAAAACGTCAATCGTTTTACTGTTTGTTGAATTCCATTAACCCAATCTATCTATCTAATCCGACGCACATCTTACCACAAAATTTGGCACACCCACCCACCCACACATTGACCGACTGACCCACCGAATGAATGAATGGTCGCACGACGGATCGATCTTCTCAGATAGGAGTCATATTACACAATGGCAGAGTCACTGCGGCCACATAAACAACGCTCGCTTGTGATTGCATTTCAGTGAATGACACTGCTCATCAAAGCTACTGCTGCTACTGCATGACTTGTCATCCCTACCGGTGGCTACTAGCTCGCACGTCACCATATGATGCAGGTGGGTGAATGATGTGGTGGCGTTGTAAACTGATATGCACCCACATTTTGCCCATGCAGCTTTGTTTGTGTAGTAAAGAAAGGTAGGATAGGTAAAGCAGGCGCAGAAGAGACAAGACGGAAGAAAATTGAGGGTCAGAGAGAGGACTGTGGACAGGTAGGCAATTAAGTGGCTGAAGACCGGAGTGTCACTCTCTCCGCCCACCCACTCATCAACACACTCATTTCTCTTCCTTCGTTGCTCTTGTCTCCCCTTCAGTGTGAGGTAGACACTTCGTGGTGACAGCAGAGAAGTACCCAGAGTACGGTCAGACATCTGACCCAAGGAGCAACTTTGGAGAAGGAGAAGTCAAAGACAGGTCTACTTGGCAAGAAGATGCACCGAAATAGCGCAAATTTTCACGTTAGATGGAGGTGAATCGTCTTTCGATAGCCAGACGAGCAAGTTACAACTGCAGACACGAAACAGGTTAACTGTCAAGGAGTTGATGCAACAAAATCAGCAATTAGTGAAGTAGAAGAAACTGTGATCGCTTACCATGGGCAAACGTTACAGCATTATCCACACATCCTTCGACACACCCATTCCTTTTGGAAAGCATGCCTTCAAAATGCGTTCTGGGTGGTGGGTGAGCACGTTACCTTTCCGTCCAACCATCCGAACAACGCTGCTGCACAGCTGCCAATTTTCTGGCACAAATCTGTCAGTCAGTCGCTTAGCCGTGCAGGCGGGCGGCAAATGCTCCCCTCAAAATTGAACACCTTCAGGACAAAAGTGAAAGAAGCGAAGAACATCAAGTTGGGAGGCATTTACACTCGCTGTCCCATTCTCGTGTGTGGTTTCTGGGTGGGATTCCCAGTTCACTTATCCGTCTCTACGGTGTAGGCTATTTAGCCTGACATCGTTATCCACGGATTTGGTGGTTTTACAGACAAATTACGAGTTGCAGGCAGATTTGTGAGGCAGACAACCTGCACCACACATTCACGCACTTTTAGCCCCTGAACAGCTTGCGGGAAAAGGTGTAAAATAAGTGAGAAAAATGTCTATTGTAACAGAATGTACCACCGTTCAGCCGTACCAACCGATAGGTTGATGTCTATTTCCTCCCTGACCTTAAATCGCAGGTGGGCAATGATAAGTCCTTTCCCCACCAATGTAAATAAGCTGCTGTAAAAGATCATGGGATAGACCACCCTTTCTCTCCCTCCGCTCGTCTTCCCTCCCTGCCCCACCCCCGACAAGTATTTTGGCTCAGCAATTAACTGAGCCAAAGAAAAAGAAACACTTTTTTCACCAAATATTTAATGGTGAAACAGTCACAACAAAAAATTGCTTTGTAGTTCCTTCTTTATTTACTATGTTCTTCTCCACCAAAATATTAGCATTTAAGTTGACTTTAAATGATCACAGAAACACCGCCAAATTCGAGGCCCTTAAATTGTGAGGATCATACAAACTTTTTCTGTAAACACGAAAAAAAGGATTTATTGCACGGCGGCTCATTTTCCACTTATTGAATAAGGAAAAAAGGTAGTCTTCTAAAAGAAAAGATGCATTAAGATCCCGCTTACAGCGCTTTTGCGTTGTTAAAGACGACATGCTGGGAGACAATTTACCTCCCTTAAAAGGACATTTTGTGGACCGCGCCTGCAGCTCTAGGATCAAAAGGTGCTGGTTGTTGTAAATCTTCACTCCTTCCCCCTCATCCTTCATGTTCACGCATGTTGTGCCAGCAAGGCGATACAAAACTTGCATTTCTTCCCCCTACGGAGAGAGGCTACTAGACAGAACATCTGTTAGCCTTGGCAAGACGTCCGAAGTGGCCAAACAATATACCTTTGCAGATCAATCAGGCAGATGAAGCGGTCCCCGCAAAGGGCGAACTGTCAGTATCTTAACGACTGCTGTTTACTGAGGCGCCAAGGACTGTGCAATGTCGAAGTTGTTATCACCTGGCAATGACATTCCATTCGGTGAGTAAATTCTAAATTTTCTTTCTCATTTCTTTCCCTTTTACTAACCTCTCCCCTCTCTCTGCCTACCGCCGCACACATATCCCTAATCCTGCTAGAACTGGCCATCTTTATGAGTAGGAGGAGGAAGGAGGCGAAGGTGAAGAAGGGGAAGTGGCAGCAGAGGAGTAGGAGGAGGTGGGGGGGGGGGGGAAACTTGCCTTGCTTAAAGTTTTCCCAAGTGCATGAATGATGTGCTTATCATTTGCATGACTTAATGAACAAGCTTGCGTCAGTGACAAAGATTTTGTTTGAGTGTGAGGATAGTTGGGGCGGGGAGGGGGGCAGCAAGCCGCAGTGGAGTGTGAATTTGTCCTTCTGTAGGGTTAAAATTAGGTTGAAACCGAATTGCAAGAAGTTTTGAAGGCGGAAAAAAGTTAGTGAGGCTCCTGCTGCAGTTTATTGCCTGTCTGCATGCTCACTCGCCTGTCAGCTTGGCTAACTGCCTGGATGCTGTTGCTGTTTATGCGCCTGGACTGCAAAGACATTGATAGTCTATCGGTTCAATTCTCTCTCAAATAATTCGAGTTGTTTCTCAAATTCTTCTCCCATAAATTGTCAGGCAAATGAGTGTAGTGGAGGTGTGTTGCATCTGGTGTCCACTCCGATGTTTGGTTCTAGATGGGGCTGACTGGACGTAGACGGAGTTGACTTAAATGGCAATTTATGGCGTCAAGTGGGGAGACTGAAGGCATGTTGGTCAATCCCTCCACTTAGGCAGGACTCCAGGATGGCGCATACTGCTCGTTAATCAAAAAAGTGTTGCATTGACACTTCAACTAGTGAATGCATCGTACAAGTCCTTCCCCACTTACCTGAAAGACGTAAACAGGGGTTGATCGAGTCCTCTCAACATGGCGACAGGGTTACTGACCAGAGTCTGCAGAGAGTACAATTACGTCTCAACTCGCACATTAATAATGCGAGGGGTAAGCTGCATATCCTACGAATGCTGAATATCCTACGAGATACTATTCCACCTTTCTACCCTGATTCGACATCCATACTTCTGGTGGAACTGGAAGGCACATAGAAAATGAGGAACGAAAAACAGCGCATGGCACTTGGGATCGTCTTTTCGAGGCACAGATCCCAAATCAACTCATAAATGTGGACATCTATTTATAGGAAAAAGAAGATGGGATAAGGAGGTGGGGGAGGAGATAAAACCATAAAGTAATAATTGCTGTTGATCAGCGTTTTAACACTGTGTAATTGACAAGGTAGAGCTACTGCCTTTTCCCTTGCCCTTTCTCCCATTCTCGTCCCACCTTTGTTGAGGTTAATGAGGGGAAAATTAAAGGTGATACATCAAAGGGGAAGGGAAAGCACCTTCGAGATTCCAAGAAGGAGGAGAAAAATAAGACGAAATAAACAACAAACTACCACTAATAGAGAAGAGAGAGCACACGCATGTGGAAGAGGCCAATAACTCCGCGAATTTCTTAAGCAACGGCATTCCGAATGATCACAGATGTAATGTAATGTAAAAAAAGCAAGGCTATTAAAAGTCGAAAATGTGTGTACAGCCGGAACTCTGGGTATCTGGGACCGGGGTTTTGAATACCCCGAGTTGATCCCATCCTAGCGTTTTAATTGGCTATTGACTAATTGACCAGCCAGAGCAAGGAGGACTTGGCAGAAGGCCTAACCATGCAATGTTTGGAAAGAGGAGGTCCTAGAAATACTCATCAGTCTATCGGTATAATCCTACCCCTCATCTGAAAGCCTCGTTTCTCATCGGATTGGCCTAATGGATTGGATTCGGGCTTATCTACTTTTACCGGCTACTTCCAAAAGTGGGGATGAATTGCTGGAAGATGACCCCCTTCTTGCTTCGAAAATAGCTTTTAAGCATGTTTGATGGAAGTTGGTGATAGAAACAGGCATCTTGTCACCTCTAAAAAGCTATGCATGCGCTGTGTGTGTGTGCGCCGACAGAAGCATTTACGATGAAGTGGTCATTGGTTGAAGGCCTGATACTAAGGTCAGTTAAGGCGTATAAGGAGTCAACGGGAGGTGAGCATCTGACAAGACCCTCGAAGAAAAGTCATCATTCTGATGAGTAAGAGGCAGGAGTGGAGACATTGACTCAACTCATCCCCTTGTCCACACTTGCTGGTCGATACACAGAGGCTAAAGGTAATAGTTATTTAGAGGGGAAAAATGAGACAGAAATGGAGATAAGATCGAAAATTCGGTTTTTTAGACTCTTTAGGGGAAGGAGAGACAAATTTCTCCAAAGACGGTATGATCCTAAAATTGCCTTCGTCTTGGTCACGCAGGAGAATTTATAGGGTAGCTGAATGCATGGCATGAGAAACCTCCTGGTTTGTCAGCCCCCCTTCGCGTTACCACTCCAAAACGTGTTAAATCGCCAGAAGTTAACGTTTTTCATGCCCAATTGCCAGTCCTTCTACAACGTCTCGTCAAAACTAACGATCTCGTTCGGTCCCCCTGATTGGTCAGTTTTAGGGTAAAAACAGGGTCAAGGCCAATCGAAGTGGTTTAGATAGGGTGGAATGCGATCACTCTGCATTAAAGGCGATATGAAGTTGTTGGTATTTGGTGTGAGCTGGGAGTGTGTTGAGCTTCCTACCGTCTTTACGGATAGCTCACCTTATTCGCCTTATTGAACGTTTCGCCTAGAGTGGAATTTGCCCAGTCAGTACCCAATGCGACAACCAGGTAAGTAATCGAGGCGTCTAGACGGGAAAATATCACAGTGCCTAGGCGGTAGGAGGCTCTAGGAAGGAAGGTGGGAGGGGTGGAGGAGGGGGTTTGGCAATTATAAAAAGTGCATTAGTTAGCGCCACCGATTTTTTCGTCGTCATCGATGTCATGCGTTTTTGGGAGATGCGGATCTAGCTGCAACAAAGGCTTATCAAAACCGCTAGCATTATGGCAAACAATTAAAAAACGCCCCTACGGCGACAAGCTTTGGCGTCACACAAACACACATCTTCAGTTGGTTAGCCAGCTAGTCAGCTAGGCAGGTAGATATGGAGGGTGTCATGAAACCTCTCATGCTCACCTTGCTCGGTGCTTGTGTGCGCGTGTGTGTCAAGACTTTAAGGCCTTCCCCGCTCCTTCTCTCCACCTTATGCGTGAGTGAACCAGACAACTCATGCTGTGCAATCTGCCATTGGGAGGGAACTTTCACTTTCCCCTTTAACTAACTGTGGGTTGAGGCCTCAAATGGATAATCTGTGACGTGTAGGGGACAGCTCACAAAGTACTTAACAAATGATGTATCCACCGATTCTCAACCCTCCTTGACGCTCAGATAAACGCTTTCGGGACGATTTCTGGCACCGCTTGAAGAGAAGTTTCGCTGGCACCACGTATACAATCATAGGCTTTTCAAGTTGAGAAAGGGGACCGAACACTTGGGCGTTAAGAGCGTGAAGTATTGAAGATAAAATAAGTTCATGTAAGAAAACCACATAAGTGGAAAGATATTCCCATTCTTACAAGACAAAACCAACTTGAAGACATTTCGAAGGTCAGAAAGGCAGGCATCAGTTGATCAGCCAATAATAGGAAGGAAATCAAGGTGTCTACCCTCCCCCTCCTTTAATCACAAAACTTGCCCTTAAAAAGATTAACACTTTATGGAGAAAGGAAGAAGGGAAAATAGGAGCCTACCTCTTATATTCTTTATCATGGGATTAAACGAACATGGGCATGGGATGTGGACAGTTGGGAAATACTGCAGAGACAAAAGATACCCGGAGGAGAGGCAAGACTTTGAAACCTCAGTTGTGCACTTAGAGAGTGGGTAATTTGGCAACTGACAACTCCATCAATATGGAAGAGTAAAAAAAGGACTTAGGAAAGTAAATAGCCTATTTATTGCTCTTCCAGTTCTTCCTCATCTAATTCTTCCCCACTCCCTGCAACATCAAATATCTCCTCTTCTTTCGATGATCACACAGCCTTGCCTTGTTGAAGCAGCAGTGCTTTTAAGTCAGCTGAAATAGCGAGATCTAAAAGTGGAAATTAACGGGAAGGAATTATGGGGAAAGTTTGGGTGGAAACCGAGGGACTTAATGTCCACAAATTCTGCCCTCTGCGTACACACCCCCATAAACAAGGTTAATGATCTGCCATTAATAACTTCCATTATTGCAACGCCACACTAGCCCAAATTTAGCTCTAGGCACGTAACCCACGTCTGTCGTGCTGATTGACAAGTCTTCCTATCTCTGACAAGTTGACTACTCTTGTAACCAGGATTGAGGGTTGTCAACCCTGGCAGCTACATCTACGGCCGATTGGTCTGTTGTGTGATTCCACAATAGCACCAGACATGCGTTTCACAAGCTGGATGAGGCAACACTTCAATCCCTCCAAGTAATCTGAGGTTACTTGCAACCCAGTCATATCTGGAGTTGCAATCACTCCACCATCATCTTCAGGATTAGCAACATTGAGAGAATGAGAGGTGCCACCTGATCGTGCTTGTGTGAACAGAGCTTCCATTGTCTTCATGAGAAGGTGGAAATGTTGATTACGTAGTAGGAGGCATCCATTTTTAAATATAGGGATGGACCTCGAGGCGACTTCCCATCCCCGCCCACACACCTCCCCGTGAGGCATCACACTAGTCATTCTAAAGGGAGAACAAGAGCCCTGTTAAATAATGGAGGCAGTGTTGATTATGAAAACTTATCAAAACTACTTGACCATTCAAACAATCTCGAGGACGATCAGCTAACCCGCCCACCCTCTTTGAATATAAGCCCAACGTTTTGGAGAAAACGTTGCGTGAGGCGGACGCGAAGGAAGTTCTGGCTCCAGGTATAATAGAAAAAGTAGGTAGAACGAAATTAACTAATTAATTATTTCCTTGGTTTATACTCACTGTTTGCGATCTCTTACCTTCGTCAAGGAGACTAAACAGAGAAAAGTCTTGTCCACAAGAGCCAACAGACAAAAAATTTTGTGACTGAGGAGCCTTCTTAACTCCTACTACCATCACTACCCGTCTCTGCACTTGGCCACTGGTCCACAAAATGTCACTGATTTCAAAAGGCAAAAAAGAAATGAGAGAGTCTTGATGAAATAAATTAGTCAACACAGGGTGACATCTTGCCAAACATTGACACTTTGACAGGCTTGGGCACATCAAAAGGCAGTAGATTGATAAATCAGCACCATGGCCATTTATTTGAGGCCATTCAGGAGAACTAATAACCCAGACCGAAGGAGGGAGTCAGTCAGTGAGTCAGATAATCCGCCTCAAGTTTGCCACTGAATAAAGGGGGAGGCAGGGAAAGTAACCGTGGGCATTTGTCCTTTTTAACAAAGAGACTATTTTATTAACGATTTGAGACAAATGAAAGAAAGGAGAGAGAAATACCATCACCTCTCCTTTGAGAAAAGTAATGCCTTGACCG